GACAGACACAGACACAGCCTTAGACTCTGCTCCAGTGGGGGGAGAGGGGGCACCGAGCCAGGGGGGGAACGGAGAGATCTGGGGGAGGCAGGAGCCTGAAGAAATGCCCCGTTTTGGTGGCTGGGGGGGGGGTCACAAGTCCTGGCTCTGGGCCGTAGCGGGCTGTGTGCATGGGCCAGGGCACCTCCCCCTGACCAACACCCCCAGGGCCCCTGCCAAGGCATGTCCCCGCACCCCCACTGCATGCATGTGCCAGGGCACATCCTCACCCCCCTCTTCATGCATGTGCCAGGGCACATCCCTGCGACCCCCCCCCAGTGGGCGTGTGCCCGTGCACAGCTGAGTGCCCCCCCCGGCACCCCTCACCGTGCTGAGCTTGCTGGAGGTGAGCAGGATGCGCCGTTCATACAGCATGCTCCCGTACAGCTGCAGCATGTTGGGCACATCCACGGCCACCACGAACTCCGTCAGGTTCCTCTGCGGGCAGAGGCCGGGGCAGAAGTTAGAGATGCCAGGCTCCCCCCTCTCCCCGGCTACCCCTTCATCCCATCTCCCCCTCTGTCCTTCCCGCCGCAGTGCACTCCCCCCTTCAACACAATGCGTGCCCCTCCCCCTCCTGCAGTGCCGGGTGCTCTCCCCTCCCCCACTCTGCAGTGTACTGCACTTTCCTCCTCCCCCCTTTGCAGCGCAGTGAGCACCTGCTCCCCCTCCTGCAGCGCAGTGCACTCTCCCGCTCCTGCAGTGTAGTGTGCTCTGCCACTCCCCTCATTCTGCAGTGAAGTGCACTCTCCCCCTCCTGCAGTGTAGTGTGCTCTTCCACTCCCGCCATTCAGCAGTGAAGTGTGCTCTCTCCCTCCTGCAGTGCACTGCGCTTTCCCCCTCCCGTCTCTGCAGTGAAGTGAGCACCCACTCCCTCTCCTGCAGCGCAGTGAGCTCTCCCCCTCCTGCAGTGTAGTGTGCTCTCCTCTCTCCCCACTCTGCAGCACACTGTGCTCTCCCCCTCAGCCCCCTGCCCACCCCACCCTGCCGCGCAGCGTAGTGCACCCCCTCCTCTCCCTGCACTGCTCACGTTCAGTCTCCCTGTAGTGTTCTCCCCCCAGCCCCACTCAGTACCAGGGCACCTCCTCATTCCACTGCCTCTGCTCTTCGCACCCCTGAATCAGCCCCCAAACCCGCCCATCCCGGGAGGGGGCGCAGGGACTTACGCTCTCCGGGATGGTAGGCAGGCTGCCGAGGTCCGGGGCAATGAAGTAGGAGGGCTGTAATGGAGAGGGGGGGTGGCGTTAGCACGGCCCCCGCCACCGGGGGGGCCGTGCTGCGGAGTTAGTGCTGTTCACCCAAGCCACACAGGGTTAATCATCGTTAAGCTCGTAATTAGTTGGCGGCTGAGTTTGCTCCCCTGGTTAGAAAGAGGAGAAGATTCGGGGGTCCTCTTCTTCCAGGTGCACAGTTTGCCCCTCCTCCCCAGGTGCCACCAGTTAGGGGTGATCATACCGCCCGGCGGGGGGGGGGAACCATGCACTGTCAGGGATCGCTCGGTTAGTCGGCACACTCCGGCTGGTTAAAATCGGGCGGAGTTTTCCGACTCACCGACTCGGTCCCGCCCGCCAGCTCCCGGCTCCGGTCTCTGTGTCGGCCATTCAGAAAGCTGCCGGTGCTTATTCTCAGTTTGTTCAACTTCTGGTCCTTGCGGGACAACGAGGGGATAAAAATATAGAGACGCGCGTGCGCATCACCAGCAGGACACCCGTGCACCTTAGCGTGATGAGCGGGCTTGGTTGGTGGGGTCCGGAGGATTAAGAGATTTTAATGCCAAAATGCCATAAAACTTCCCCCAAATAATTCCCAGATCAGACCTTTTAGAAAAACAACCAATAAGAACATGAGCCATGGTCCATCTAGCCCAGTATCCTGTCTCCGACAGTGGCCAGAGATTCAGGGAGAGTGTACAAAACAGGACAATTTTGGAGAAATACACCCCTGTTGTCCCCTCCTGATTTCTGGGAGTCAGATTTAGGGTCACCTCAAGCATGGGGTTACATAGAATATCAGGGTTAGAAGGGACCTCAGGAGGTCATCTAGTCCAACCCACTGCTCAAAGCAGGGCCAATCCCCAGACAGATTTTTGCCCCCAATCCCTAAGTGGCCCCCTCAAGGATTGAATTCACAACCCTGAGTTTAGCAGGCCAAGGCGTAAGCCACTGAACTATCCCTCCCATCCCTGACCTTGGCTAATAGTTGTTGATAGACCTATCCTCCATGAACTTCTCTAGTTCCTTTTGAAACCCAGTTATGCTTGTGGCCACCACAACATCCCAAGGCAGTGAGTTCCACTGGTTAATTGTGCGTTGTGTGGAAAAAATACTTCCTCTTGCTTGGACTAAATCTGCTGCCTGTTCATTTCATCGCGTGACCCCTGGTTTTTGTATTGTGGGAAAAGCTAAATATCAGTTCTCCATTCACTTGTTTCCACACATGTACGCCTTATTTCCAGTCTGAACCTGGCTAGCCTCAACTCCCGGGCACTGGATCTTGTTAGCCCTTTTGCCCCTAGATTGAAGAGCCATGATTTTTCAATGGAAAATTGGGTTTTCGACTAAATGGATTCCCCGCTCCCCCCCCCGAAAGCATCTGCTTCCTCTGGAAAGTGTCGCTATCTTGTCAAAATACCCCAAACTGAAATATTTTGGCCCCAAACCAAAATATGTCAACTCAAAACGGCACCTTGGTGTCTTGTGGGAGTTGTAGTTTGGGTATCTCGTGCTACCGTTCTCCACTGTAGGAAAGACTCTGTGGTTTGACTACATCTCCCAGGATGCACCACAGCCAGGGACTCCTCGGTCACACCCCTGCCCTTCACTATGAGGGGAGAAGGTGGTGCATCCTGGGAGATGTAGTCCAACCAGGGAGCTGGCCCATAGAGAATGGGTGCATGAGGCACTTGAACTACAACTCCCACGAGGCCCCTCAGCACTAGTTTGAATTGAAATATTTTGGTTTTCGGCCAAAAAGTCGAATATTTTCGGCAGAAAACTTTAGAGGAAAAGCTAAAAAGTTTCGATTGGTAAAATTTTGCTAAGGGGGGGGGAAAAATCAGCAACTTACTTTCCAAGTAGCTGCAAGTTTTACCCTGCTCCAAAGCTTAGCCAAACAGAAGGTGGGAATCCCAGAATCTGGATGTTCAATTCCCACCTCTCCAGAGTCTGGCATGGGCCAGATCTCATCCCCCCAGTCCATATTCTCCCCCAGGGGATCTGGTTCAAAATCACCATCCTCCCTGTAGGTGCCTCTCTCTTCACAGCTCATCTCAGCTCTGCCTCAGTACCACAGACGTAGGGCCCTCCCAAATTCACAGCTGTGAAAAATGCGTCACGGACCGTGAAATCTGGTCTCCCCCAAGAAATCTGGCTATTGTAGGGGGGTCGCGGTATTGCCACCCTTGCTTCTGCGCTGCCTTCAGAGCTGGGTGGCCAGAGTGAAGTCTGCTTCCCCACCATCAGCAGCACAGAAGTGAGGGGGAAGGGCTGGTCTACAGGTGGGTGACCATCCAGGGCATCATGGTTGGGGATGGAGGGGCACTATACCCTCCCCCCCCACGCACACACACACAGAGCCAGTCCAAGGCCCCTTTAACCCTTGAGCATTGGCCCGGAGCCAGGGAGGGCCAGGGTTGGGGGTACCCCAGGTGGGGGGTCCTACCGTGCACTAGTCTCCAGTTGCTAGTCCTGGCCTGGCTGGGGAAGGACCAGACTTCCTCTTCCCCTGCATGGACCACTCCCGGGGCCAGGTCAGACCCACCTATGGGAACCCCTCCCCTGCCCCTGACTGTAGGAAGCTCCGCGGCTGCTGGCTGGGAACCCAGCTCTGAAGGCAGCGCTGCCCCCAGCAGCAGCTCAGAAGTGAGGGTGGCAACCCCCTACGATAGCCTTGCGACCCCCACCACAACCACTTCTGGGTCGGGACCCCCACGGTTTTAACACCACGAAATTTCAGATTTACATATCGGAAACCGTGACATTGACGATTTTTTTAATCCTGCGACCGTGAAATTTACCAAAATGGATCATGAATTTGGTAGCGCCCTATACAGATGGATCATGGACCGGGAGGGAAGGCAGCGCCCCAGTGAGAGAAACTGAGCTGATACTTACAAATTCTAGGTTCACGGGGCTGTTCAGCTGGGGCACCGGGTGGCAATAGAGGGCGGAGAGGAGCTCGGTCAGTTCATTCAGCTGATGGGGAGAGAGGAAAGATGAAACGGATCTGTCCAAATGGAGCTGGGGTCGAGGGAGTGACAAGATGATCAGGATGTAGCGAGACTGGGGGGGTGGAGGTAGCCACCGAAAAGGACCCACGAGTCCTAGGCTCACCTGCTCCTTGGCTAAATGGTCGGCAATGTTGTTGAGGATCTTGTAGAAAACTTCAAACCACGGCAGGTAACTAAAAAAAGGAGAAGCCGGGGGGCAGTTATTGTCTGTGTTATGGTAGCCACTAGGCGACCCATCCTGCCGGGCGCTGAACAGACCCCGAGTGAGAGAGAGTCTGTGCCCCAAAGAGCTCAGGGTCTGAAGAGACAAAGGAAGGGCCGTTCCCCCTGAGGTACAGAGCGATGAAGTGACTGAGATGCAGCTGCTTCTGGGGTGAGGCGCGGGGGCTGTTTATACAGGGATCCTTTGCCCGGTGCTGAGTGAAGAAGAACCCTAAATCCAGGGTTCCACTGGAATAGAAGCAATTGACGGAGCAGGAATTTGGGGGCTGATACATTGGCCAGGATCGTAGTTTTATATCTGCTCTGAAACACGCAGACTGGCGCCCCCTAGTGCGCCTAACACTAACAGGGAGGGGAGAGCGCCCCCTGGCGGAGCCCCCACCCCACGCCCAGTCGCACGGCGCGGTACCTGAGGATGCAGAGGCAGGTCCGGAAGCCCCCGGCCAGGCGGCAGAACCCGAAGCGCTGGTTACCCTCCAGGTCGGTCAGGGCGAAGGTGAAGTTCTGCACCACAGAGCTCTCCTTTACCCTGCGGGGGCAGGGGGGGCAGCCGGTGAGACCGATGGGAGAGGAGGAAGCTAATGGCCGACCCCAGCCCCCTGCCATCCGGCCTGGGCCAAAGCATCGGGCACTGGTGACAGTAACTTTCCCAGGACAACACCCAGAGCAGGGGGGGGGGGTTGGGAGCCAGGACTCCTGGGTTCTACCCCCAGCTCTGGGAGAGGAGTGGGACCTAGTGCTTAGACCCGGGGGCTGGGAGCCAGGACTCCTGGGTTCTCTCCCCAGCTCTGGGAGGGGAGTGGGGTCTAATGGTTAGAGCCGGGGGCTGGGAGCCAGGACTCCTGGGTTCTCTCCCCAGCTCTGGGAGGGAAGTGGGGTCTAATGGTTCGAATACCACTGCTGGGCCCAACCATGGTGCATTGGGCTCACTGGGCCCGATCCTGCCAGGTGCTTAGCACCTTCCTCTCCCTTTTATCCTCCTCCCGAGGGAGGGGGAGGCTGGCCCTCAGCCCTCACTGCTTTCTGCATTAGACACCGCCCAGGGACGCCTATGACCTGACCCCTGGCTACATTCCCCCGAGAGCCATGAGCCACTGGCCGCAGCGTGGAACGGCTGGTGTCCCCAAGGGAAGTTCAAGCACCTGATCAGATTGGTCCGAATGCCACTGGATCAAGATTCCTCCAGGCTCCACCACAGCTGCCCCCCGCCCCCACCAGCCCAGATTGGACAGGGGCAATTGGGCCTCATGGGATGGCTTTCAGCTGGGACCATGCCTTATTTATTGGGCGGAGGAGACCCCAGGACAGACCTCACCCCCCGTGCACACGCACAAACCGACGTGCACCCGCGCAGCCGTGTACCTCTCTATGTCGAAGGGGAAGCAGAATTTGGGCAGCATCTGGATGGATTCCTGGAGAAGGCAAGGTGAAAATTACACATACCCCCCTGAGTGCAGAGATCACAGGGACCCAGCACACCAGGGTGGGGGCGAAGGCCAGATCGTCTTTATTTCCTGTCGGCTCTTTGCCCCCGCCTGGAGGGAAAATCCCCTAGGGCCAAAAAGCCCCATCAAACACCCCAGCCCTTGCAACAGACGAGAAGCCAGGACTGAGCTGCAAGGAATTTAAGGGGGATTCTTTTGACCCAGGCTACTGGACGCAGACAGCCCCTGTGCTTCTTGCTGGTTTAATCCGCAGACAGGCCCATGAGTCTGATCTGGGATGGCAGGGCTACATGGGCCCATGGGTCTGAGCAAGGGGGCAGGGAGGGGGAGAGAGCAGGCTATGATCTCTGGGCAGGGGGGATCCTGGGTTAGATGGGCATTGGGCAGATTAAGCCCAGATCCATGGCTCCGGGCCCACACACCAGCCTGACCCCAACGCACGGTGGGGTGAGCGGCTGATGCTCAACTGGCCTCCACTGGCACAGGGGAAACATGGCGCTTGGCAGAGGGGCGCAGAAGCGAGGCACAGACCTGGTCATCGAACTCCTCCGGGAACTGCCTCAGCACCTGGGGGTCTGTGGGGAAAGCAGAGACAGAGCCGCAATGACACCCCTGCCCCCCAGACCCCTAAGCCCCTGCCAACGCTCCCTGAGCCCCACAACCTCCCTCACCAGTGGGGAGTAGGGAGAGGAAGTGACTTGTCCAAAGACAGTGGCAGAGCCAGGAATAGAACCAGGGAGTCCTGGCTCCCCCACTCTAACCACTAGACCCCACTCCCCTCCCAGAGCCAGGAATAGAACCCAGGAGTCTTGGCTCTCAGCTCCCCCTGAACCCCCAACCATTTCATAAAGGCCACCAATCAGCACCACTGGATGGTAATGACTTTGGGATGCTACTAGAGTGGCCTGGATTTGAACTTGTAACCCAGAGGGGAAATGCCCAGTCTCCCTGCCAGTCTCCCTGCCCAGGGAACAGAGCAGAGCTGGCACCCCCTAGAGGAGAGCAGCTCCACATCTCATCCCGCCCCCGCACCCAACCAGTCCCACCAGCTAAGAGCGGTGAAAGGTCCCGTAGGCCATTCCCCAACCTCCTGGAGCCAACCAGGCCTCCAGAACCAGCACCCTGGAGAAGAAAGGCCCTGTATCTAGTGCGGCAGGGAGGCGGGATACCAGGCTAGATGGGCCCATGGGTCTGATCTGGGGTAACAAGGGGAGGGATACCAGGCTGGGTGGGCCCATGGGTCTGACTGGGGTAGCAGGGGGGCGGGATACCAGGCTAGATGGGCCCATGGGTCTGACTGGGGTAACGGGGGCGGGATACCAGGCTGGGTGGGCCCATGGGTCTGACTGGGGTAGCAGGGAGGTCAGGGATACCAGGCTGGGTGGGCCCATGGGTCTGACTGGGGTAACAGGGGGGCGGGATACCAGGCTCGATGGGCCCATGGGTCTGACTGGGGTACCGGGGGGGGCGGGATACCAGGCTGGGTGGGCCCATGGGTCTGACTGGGGTACCAGACTAGGTGGGCCCACTACTCGGAGCTGCTTGGCCCATGGGGGTAGGACACTGGAGGGGACTCAGGCTGGGAGCGGCCGCCCCAGCAGCTGGGGCCTGTTTGGTTCTGAAGGTCCAAGGAGGCGCGCGATGCACACAGGTCCCTGGGGGAGCCGTGGGCTCGGGGGACGTCGGTCTCTGCACCTGGATTCTTTAGTGGACCATCCCCCACCCCCAGAGCAGCCTCCCACTGGGACAGCCCCCCCCTACCCCCCGCAGCTAGCGCTCAGGAGCGTGGGTTCCCACTACCCCCATGCAGGGCAGGATGCCCCCCCACCCCTCTGCTGCTCCGCACCAGACACGCTAGCTGCCTCCACCTCCCGCCTCGCCACTTCCTGTGGCTGCTGAGAGCGGCCCAGACGGAAGGGCCCTTCGGCTCTGCGTGGGGGTGGGGGGGCGCACCTCTGAACCCCGGCCTTGCCCTGGCCGTGGAGCCAGCTCCCTCCCCCCGCAGGAGGATGGGGAAGGGGTTTCTGATTTCCCAGGACCTCACAGTAACCCCCACTGTGAGCCGGGCTGTAATGCCTGACAGGCTGTTTATACAGCAATTCTTCACCCAGTGCCAAGATGCAACCACCTCTGGGGTACCGTGTGGCAGCTGTTTACCTAGGGATCCCTTGCCTGGTGCTGAGATGCAGCCACCTCTGGGGGGGAGTGCGGGGGCTTTTTACACAGGGATCCCTGCCCGGTGCTGAGATACAGCCACTTTGGGGGTGGGACACAGGGGGCTGGTTATACAAGGATCCCTCACCCAGCGCTGAGATGCAGCTGCCTCTGGGGTGGGACGCAGGGGGTTGTTTACACAGGGATCCCTCGCCTGGTGCTAAGAGGCAGCCACCTCTGGAGTGGGACGCAGGGGACTGTTTACACAGGGATCCTTCGCCCGGCACTGAGGGGCAGCCATTTCTGGGGTAGGATGCAAGGGCTGTTGAACAGCCAGCTATAGCAGTTTAGGACAGGAAGTGAATAACAGTTTCCAGGGCAAGAAAACTGCAGGAGGATTTAAGGAGGCAGAACAGAATAATCTACAGGCAGGATGTGGGATAAACACCTCAGCTCTTGCACACACAACACACACACACACCGTGCTAGGGAAACTGTCAACTCTATCACCACGCTGGGGCAGTGGGGCCCACAGGGACTGCAAGGGGAGGGCGCCCCCTACTGAGCCCCCCAACCCAATTCCTGCAGCATCCTGCCCCCCAAGCACCATGCTGGGGTCATAGTGACTCCAAGGGATGTACGCCCACCCCCACTGTTCCCCTGCCACCCAGCAGCACCCCCAGGACTCTCATCCTACCACGGGCTTTGCTGGACCCTGCTTGGCTCAGAGGAAATCCCAACCCGAGGTCAGACAGCTGGAGGCTCTTCGTGTCTCCCCTGAACTGCAGATGCCAAACCCATCCCAAATGCTGTCCTTCGTGAAGACAACCCCCCATAAACGCCATGGGACGGCCCTTATTTCCAGGGGTCTTTAGGCTCACAGAGCAATGGAAGAGACACGCAGCCACAACTGCTCTAACCACTAGACCCCACTCCTAGGAAAGAACCCAGGAGTCCTGACTCTCAGTCCCCTCCCCTGCCCCCACTTAGACAGCTACACTCCAGAACCCTCCCAGAGCTAGAATAGAACCCTGGCGTCCTGACTCCCACAGCCACCCTCTGCTCTAACCATTAGACATCACGCCCCTCCTGGAGTTGGAAATAGAACCCAGGAGTCCTGGCTCTGAGCACCACCCCGTTCAATTCCCCTCCCAGAGCTGGGGATAGAACCCAGGAGTCCTGACTGCCAGATCCACTTTTAGCCCCAGGGAAGGTAGGCTGGATTTGAACCAACGACCTGAAGTTAAGACTCCGGTGTCCATTTGCCTCAGCCCTTCCCTTTGCATCCCACCCCCCCCCCATGAACACAGATAAACCCCACACAACCCGCCCGCCCCGGCGCTGGCCTCTGGGCTCAGGGACTTACCGTCATCTGCAGATGTGGGGCAGGCTGCCTCGAAGAACAAATCAAATGTCTTCTGGGGATTTTCCCTGGTGGGGGGAGAAGAAAGGAACCTATAGCCACTGGCCAGGCTAATGACTGAGAACGGACACAGCTCAGTGCACAGGCGGCTGTCACAGGACCGTGCCGATTTGCTCAGCAAGCTTAGGCCTGTATGCACTGAGGCGCTGGGGGGAAACCCTTTCAGGAAGGGCCCAATTTAGGCTGCTCAGACTTCTTGTCTCCTGGGGGGGGGGGGGACACGACTTTTAATTCACAGGCCAGGCACAGCTGGGGGTTGGGCACCCCTTAGGGGGACCTGGCTAAGGACCCCGGTGACGGATCCAGACTCCACATGGAATGGGAACCCCTCATATGGAGATAAGGCACTTTACTGAGAGCTGGGACCCCCCCTGGCTTCTAGGCCCAGCTCTGGGAGGAGAGTTGGGTCTAGTGGTGGTGGCAGGGGAGAGGTTGGGATTCTGGACTCTTGTGTTCTATTTCACTCCTGCTCTGCCCCGACTGCCGGAGTGACTTGGGAAAGTCACTCCCTTTCTCTGGGCCTCAGTTTCCCCCCGTAAGAGGGGGCCGTTAACGCTGACCCGCCTCTCTGAGGTTAGGCTGAATTCATCCATAAGCAGGATGAATCTTTGGCTAGAAGAAGCCAAAGGACAGCAACAGGATTAGCCGACACAGCTCCACAAGTGGGCTAAAAAACCACCCCTGATGCGCCCCATAATCCTGCCTAGAGGATGGAGGAGAACTCCCCTCCCAACTGCGGACGACCCCCACCCCTGGCTCCCGCAGTCCTGCCCGGGAGAACCCAGGGCTGTTCACCTGCCTGGCTAGCTCAAACCTGGGCACGGTTGCCCGGCTGCTGAACAGCGCTGGAAAGAGATGGACCCCAAAGCTGGCACAGCCCAGCCTGCACCCTGCCAAGCTAGGGATCCCTGACCCTGCCACCCCTTTGCAGCGGCCAGTTCTCCATGGCGTCCACCCGCCCGAGCCTCCAACCCACCGAAGGGAGAAATCTTCCATCACCTCAGTCTCACTCCCTTCGTGGGGGCCTGAGGCATTGAACCCAGCGAAGACGGGGTGTCTTAAAGGGGCCCGTCTGCCCCCCTCGGTGTCCGCTCAGGATCAAAGGTCAATTTCACTTTCTCCACAGATCAGGTAACGATCCAGCAGGTGCGAGTCTGGGGGGGGCTCCTCTGAGGGGCTGAAAATCCCTTCTGCTAAAGCCCAGGCCCCGCGTGAGGTCGGCGCCCAGAGAAAATCAAAGGGGTCTTACTTTATCCGCGAGCCCATGATTCTCACTGCTCATTCCCCGTCACGGTCTCATCCCAGGCTGGCTGCCTCCCACGGGGGTGGTGCCCGCGGCACCTCTGGAGGGTAGATTTCAAGGCCGGGTTGGGTATTAAAAAAAAAACAAGAAAAACCCCCCCCCCCCTTTTTTTTTTTTTTTTACGGTGCATCTACAAAAATATGAAAAAATCGCTCTCCTGTTGCTTCAGAGCTTCCTGTGTGGCTTTTCGTTAGAGGAAGTCTGAGCGCCGTGACACCCAATGGGGGCCCGGCAGGCTGGGGCGGCTGGGGGGAGGGTGCATTGTGTGGCCTGATGGGGAGGCAGGGAGGTCCAGGTTTGCCCTCGTTGTAGGAGGCGTCTCTGATATGTTGCCCTGCTCGCCGAAGCCCCGGCCGCAGATCGCAGCAGATCCCACGTGCTGAGCAGGCCGGGGCATTGCAGGGGGCACTCGCCACCTCGCTAGTCAATGCTGGCACTAGGGGGCGCTGTGCTCCTGGGAGTGTGGTGGGGAACTCAGTGGAGGGCGGTCTCCTCTGGCAGTCAGCGCAGACCCCAATGTCCCAGTGTGGCACTAGGGGGCGCTGTGCTGCAGGGTGGGGGGGGTCACTAGGGGGTTCTCTCCCCCTTAGTGCCGACTCCGGTTCCCAGCACTAGGGGGAGCTGTGCTGCAGGGTAGGGGTGGGTCAGTAGGGGGTTCTTCCCCCTTAGTGCCGACTCCGGTTCCCAGCACTAGGGGGCGCTGTGCTGCAGGGTGGGGGTGGGTCACTAGGGGGTTCTTTCCCCCTTAGTGCCGACTCCGGTGTCCCAGCACTAGGGGGCGCTGTGCTGCAGGAAACAGTGTGTGGGGCTCCGTGGGAGGCGCTCTCCCCTCTCAATCAGTGCTGACGGCAATGCGGGGGGGGGCACTAGGGGGCGCTGTGCTGCAGGGAATGGAGTGGGGGGCTCTGCAGGGGTCGCTCTCGCCTCCGAGCAATGATGACCCCAATGACCCCTCGCTCACTTTCAAATCCTCATGGAGAGAAGGCAGCAGGTAATTTTTACCTCCATGTAGCGAGGCAGGGTCAGCCCTACACTCCACCCTCCTCCGAGGCTGACTGCGCCCTGCTACATCCAGGTGAAAACGAGTGGGTCTCCACTGGGATCAGCCCCCAGGTGGGGTGGGAAGGGGCGCAGGGGGTTCTGTCGCTCGTCATGCCGGTGAATAACACCACCTAGCTCTTTCCCTCCGTAGCTCTCAAAGGACGTCAGGTCAGCATCATCACCCTTGTCTGACAGGTGGGGAAACTGAGGCACAAAGTGGTGGATGCCCAAGGTCCTCCAGCAGGCCAGGGGCAGAGTCAGGAATCCAACCCAGGCCTCCTGAGTCCCCGTCGGATGCTCTAGCCACTAGGCCATACGGCCTCGAAACACATTGAAAGCTGCACTGACTCGAGGATGGAGCTGTGCCAGTCTCTCCGCCCGGAGGCGGGCGTACAGCCGGAGGAACCCCTCTCTTCCCCGTCTGCGGGTCAGCAGACGGCTGGTATGACATGCAGGTCTGGACGGACATCTGGGGCGAGCTGACCGTACAGTGTATGGGAGCCCAATCCTGCTCAGAGCATGTGGGAACAGAGGAGTTCCCCCCAACCATAGCTTAGCCCCCCACAGCTCAGTCCCTAGGCCCCTGGTAGGGCCCCCACAAACAATCCTGCAGGCAACTCGGGGTTAATTTAAAGGGACACTACCTTTTACAACTACTTCTGCTTGGGACACTAGCCCGGTCAGTTTCACTTTCTGTGCCTAGACAGCAAATTCATTTCCTGGATTATTTGTCGCCTAGTGGTTACAGCAGGGGGGCCTGGGAGTCAGGACTCCTGGGTTCTCACCCCAGCTCTGGGTGAGGAACAGGGTCTAGTGGTGAGGTAAGAGAATTAGGACTCCGGGGTTCGAGCCATTTACAGGGCAATATGCAGGCCCCAGTCCACCCAGGCCCTATTGACTTTAATGGGACCCCGGCCTGTGTGGAGTTCACTGGGGCCTGAGGTCTGGTGCACCCTGGGCTTGATCCAAAGCTGTAGCTGGACCGTTACAGTCCCCTCATGCGGACACAGTTTACGATGCCCTATCGCAGTTTGCGCTGACGCAGCTTAGCCGGGAGCCCTTGTGCGGAGACTGGAACCCAGGAGTCCTGGGCGTCAAACCTGGTGAGCTGCAATGGGGAAGTCAGGCTGTTGTGGTGTAGAGGGGTCGGCACAAGTGGCTGCACTTCCAGTGCTGACAAGACAGCAGACGAGGGATCCTCAACCTTCACCATAGCACGCAGGATCCCTCTCTGAAGGACACCCTAGCCCCTTTTAGCTGGGATCTAGGGTGGGGGGGGGTTGCAAAATCTGGGATAAGAACCCCCACATTAGATCATCTGACACATGCAGAAATGGGATTTTTCCAGTGTTGCGAACTCTGGCAAGATCTGCTGTTTTTTCTTAAAGCCCCAGCTCCCGGAGTCACGTGAATGTGGGGAAAAGTACATTTCTAGCCCTCTCACTCATTGAGAAAAGTTTTCAAATGCCACTTGAGTATGACCTAAATAAAACAAAAGGCACTGGGAATAGAACCCAGAGGTCCTGACTCCCTGCGTTAACCCGCTGCCCCCACTCCCCTCCCGGCACCGGGAATAGAACCCAGGAGTCCTGACTCCCTGCGCTGCCCCCATACCCCTCCCGGCGCCGGGAATAGAACCCAGGGGTCCTGACTCCCTGCGCTGCCCCCATACCCCTCCCGGCACCAGGAATAGAACCCAGGAGTCCTGATCATCCACTAACCACTAAACCCAACTCCCCTCCCAAAGCCAGGACTAGAACCCGGAGTCCCAGCCCACCCTGCTCTAACCCACTACCCCCCACTCCTCTCTCCGAGCTGAGAACTGAACCCAGGAGTCCTGATTCTCACCCCCACCAGACCCCCAGCTATGGGCCGTCTCCCAGCTGCAGAGAACCCGTCATTCCACCACCACCCTCTTCCTGGTTGTCCTGAAACGACCCCTGAGGATCAGCCCACCCGCGCCTGGGCCCCTTTGCTCTGAATCGCATAGCAGCGGGGGAGGGGGGGAATCTGTGCTGCAGGTGGGTCACGTGCCCCCCCCCCCCGGGTGTAGGGGGGGGGGGGTGCCTTTGCAATCAGCCAGATCCTGTGCGCATGGCTGATTGCATGGAGACCCTGCCATGGAGACAAATGCCACTTTGTTCTGCGGCTGGGCGAGGCCTGGCGCTGACCTCATTCGCTGCGGCTGGAGTGGGGGGGCGGGGGGGGGGAAGAGCTGGCTCCCTGCAGCATTCCCCTCCCCCTTCAATATGACACTGACCTAGATTGATCTACCAGCGCCATTCACACCCCCGTCCCTTCCATGCCAGAGCCAGCCGCCTGCAGAGAGATGCCTCCGGTGCCCACGCGGCACCTGTGTGTGATGTACCTCGCCTGGTGATCGGTGTGAGACATGCGCCCGTGTCTGTGCGTGGCACCCAGGCGCTGTGTGTGTGAGACGTGTTTTGGGCCAGAGCGGTGTGTCTGGGGCATACATGTCAGTATCATGTGGGGCACGGCTGTTGTGCCCCTGTGGGGGATCGGAGCATGTGCTTTCTCTGTGCGTGTGACGGGTGTGTTTGTGCGTCGCATCTGTGTGTGATGGGCATTGTGTGTCCGGGTGGTACCTGTATGTGGTGTGTGTTTAGTACCGGGGCCTGAGGGGGGGGGTTGTGTCTGAGCGCTGTTTCGGTGATGGGTGTAGGGTGTGAGTGTGTGTCGGTGGTGTATATGTGTGACTCTTTCTGTGTGTGTGTGTGTGTGAGTAGGTTGGTGGGGTGTGTGTGTCCCCCTTTCTCTAATCACTAGACGCCACTTCCCTTCCAGAGCTGGGATTAGAACACAGCAGTTCAGGAATCCCAATCCCTCCCACCAACTGCCAGACCCCTTTCGCACCCCTCAGCTGGGTTAGAACCCAAGAGACCTGACGCCCAGCCCCTCTGCTCTAACCACTAGACATCACTCCCCTCTCAGAGCTAGGAATGGAACTGAGGAGTCCTGATTCCCAGCCCCGTCCCACCCGCTCTAACCACTAGACCCCACTCCCCTGCCAGAGTTGGGAACAGAACCCAGGAGTCCTGACTCCCAGCCCCCCTGCTCTAATCTCTATCAACCTGTGGGTCCGCAGACTATGTCTAAGATTTCCAAAGGGGTCCGCACCTCCATCCAACATTTTGTAGGGGTCTGTAAATGAAAAAAAGATTGAAAACCATTGCTCTAGGCCTCATGCCCCTCCCAGAGCTGGGGAGAGAACAAAGCATCTAAACTCGGTACGTGTGTGTGAGCTCCAAAGGGGAGTGCAGGTCATGGGAACATTGGCTGAACATCAGGACCTGGGAGAGTTTGTGGCTGGTTGCACAATCCCCGCCTGATTAGCGACGTGGCTGGCGGAAACAGAGTCATGCAACGTGCTCCAAGCTGGGCGTTTCGTTCTCACGTGCGTCTAGGAACAAAGGCCTTCATCCTCAAAGCTAGTGAGGTGTCTAAGTCCCCTGGGTCTCACTGGGAGTTAGGCACCTAAATACGTTTGAGCCAAAATCTCCTCTCCTGGCTCCGACAATTATTTATTCGTATTGTGGGGGCGCCTGGGGGCCTCAGGCAAAGATCAAGGTGCCCATCGCATGAGGTGCTGGACCAACGCAGAGCAAACGTGTGCTAGAAAGGAGGAGAATCGGGGTGAAGACCGTGGGGCCTGGCGTTTCTGGGCTAAGACCCAGCCTTGTCTGGTGAATTACAATAGCGTTGAAAGGTCCCGTTAGAGCTGGGGGAAACTCGGGGAGTTTTCTGCTGGTTGAGAAATTCCAGTAGCTTTCCTCCCGAATGGGCTGTTTCCTGCCAAATTTCCTTTGGGAATGGACCATTCGTAGATCCGAAACGCAGGCCTGAATGCATTCCTGAGTGAACCGGGGCAGAGCTTTTAGAAAAACGTCCAGTCTTGATTCAA